CGCTCCTGCGAGAACACCGGCGCGTTGTCGTTCACGTCCAGCACCCGCAGCGCCAGCACCCTGCTGCTCTGCAGCGCCGGCCACCCGCCGTCGGACGCCCGCACCGTCACGTTGTACTCCGACTGCTGCTCCCGGTCCAGCTCTCTCGCTGTCACCACGCGGTAGTAGCTGCCCTGCGAGTGCTCCAGGAGGAACGGGACATCCCCGTCAAGGGAGCAGCGCACCTCGCCGTTGGCACCCGAGTCCTGGTCCTGTACGTGTAGCAGGGCAACAACAGTCCCCGTCGGGGAGTCCTCAGAGACCTCACTAAGCTGAGAAGTCACTGTCAGTTTAGGTGCATTGTCGTTTATGTCTGTTACAGTGATCTCGACCTTTGCCGTATCGTAAAGTTGTCCTCCGTCCCGTGCTTGCACCTCCATCTCGTAGGCGTTACCTTCCTCAAAGTCCAGGCTTCTCATTAGCGTGATCTCTCCGGTTTCAGAATCCAGATGGAAAATATCCAATGCCATGTCCGTCTCTTTCTTCAGTGAGTATCTGACGTTCCCGTTCATACCCTCGTCGGCGTCGGTGGCCGTGACGGTGACGAGGGTGGAGCCCACGGGCACGTCCTCCGGCACACGCACCGTGTACTCCGCCTGGCTGAACACGGGCGCGTTGTCGTTCGCGTCCACCACCGTCACGCGGATCCGCGCCGTGCCTGTTCGGGCCGGATCGCCGCCGTCGATCGCCCTCAGCACCAGCTCGTGAATCGCCGCCTCCTCCCGGTCCAGCGCCTTCGCCAGCACCAGCTCGGGACGCTGATCCCCGCCGGGGCCCTTCTGCACGGCCAGCGAGAAGTGCTCATCGCCGCTCAGCTCGTAGCTCTGCAGGGAATTCTGTCCAGAGTCCGGATCGTGAGCCCTGGGAAGTGAAAAACGCGACCCCGGGGTATTCATCTCGCTTATTTTCTCTTCCACTTCAGTATCCTTGAAAGTGGGGGAGTTGTCATTAATGTCCGTGATTTCCACATCAATTTCGTAAACTTTCATTTCTCCCTCCACTATCAGCTCACAGCGCAGCACGCATTGCTCCACCAGCCGGCACAGCTGCTCTCTGTCGATCCTCTCGGCCGTCACTAAATGTCCCGTCTTTCCATGTAGAGCGAAATACTGCGTCCTACCTCTGTCGATGATGCGGACGCCACGATTTGCGAGCGCCGGCATCTGCAGCCCCAGGTCCTTGGTCACATCGCCCACGAACGAGCCCTTGGGCATCTCCTCGGGCACCGAGTAGCGCAGCTGCCCCCACGCCGCCTCCCAGGCCGCCAGCAGGACGCCCCAGAGCAGGATTCGCTGCCACCGGCCCCAGCACCTCCCCGCCGAGCACATCACCGCACCGCCGGCACCGCACCACTGCCGGCAGATCCCCGCCGCCGATCAATGATCCGGCTCCTGCTCCCGGTCCGACTGCCGCTTTCTGCCTCTGCCTCCGGTCCCTCCGCTTCGCTATATCTCGGCTCCGCACTGCAAGGATGATTGGAAACCGAGCGCGATCCGAACCAGGAATCCAGCGATCCAGCCGGTCCGCAGCGGGCGGGGCTGCAGCGCTCCGACCTTCCTCTCGCTCCTCTCGGTCAACAGCGGCGCCCGCAGCCTCCTCCCGGCACTGCAGGCACCGAGCGCTGCCGAGAGATGCCCGCCCTGCCTCGCCCACAGGACGCTCAAGCAGATGTCACATTCTCTACGAAAATGTCGGGTCCAGTATAGCGAGACCTGGCGTTAAGTTCTTTCTACCGCACGGGAAAATATTTATGTGATTGTGATAATCTCTAGTTACAAAGTTCTCTTAATGTGGCGTGCAGAGTATTCCGAATCTACTCATCTATGGCAGGAAAGCACAGCATCTTCCCTGCAAATGCACACTTTTTTATGTTATTCATTCTCTAGTTTTTCCTCACTGAGCGTCAACACTGAAACCCCTCCAGCCACAGTAGATTCCCAGACTGATAGAAATTGAACATAGCAGCGAAGAAGATTCCTCCTCAAAAGGAGGGATTCTAGGGACTGCCTTGCCCTCTTTGCCTTGTTAGATTGCCCCTGAACATCCGAGGCTGCTCTGAATCAGCCTGCGTGTCTTCCCTTTCCAACCACTTCTTTCGAATTTTTCATTATAGCCTTATGAAAGAGGTTGTGCTTATACAGCTTAGTGCTCCCTTCTTGATAACAGCCTTACCGATAGACCCTATTGACTAAGGAATATATAAATTTTGGGGGAAAAAAAAAAAAAAAAAAGAAACGCAGGTTAAAAGCAAAACCAAACCAACCAACCAATCATCAAACAAACAACAAACCCCACGCCATTTCTCTCTTAAAACTCATTCAGTGTCTGCAGACAAGACAGTTGAGGATTGGTAAACAAGAGGGCACTACCACACATGATGGAACCCTTCATAATATATGACCGTAGAAAGAGAACAAATAAACAAAGCTCTGATAAAGTCAGAGACCGATTGCAGATCGATCAAGTGGTCTCACTATTGTAGCCATTTATGCAGCCTTCTTACACTAGAAGATGGGAGGATACAGGGTGGAAGACACATATATTTGTAATGGAAGAAAGTTTTTCCTTCATCAACACATGTTTCCTTAAAAGCAGTGAAATGAATAGATCGCAGTGCATGTATTCGGCAAACCAACGCCAGGAAGGAAAAATCTCATCACTGAGAGTCAGTCATATTCCAAGCTCTGCCATACAGAACTAGTGGATCCCCTTCCCAAAAGTAAGGGTCTGCTTTCACCGTTACTAACCCGTGTTACTTCACACAACACAGCATTTGAAGAAAATCATGAACCTGAACATTTGAGAAAAAAGGGATGCTGTCACTACACTACTACTCCGAGAGGAAAATTAATAAAAACAAAACTGAAAGCAGACCTTTATAAGTCCTACGGTTTCATGCACCATAAGCTGAACGACAAGAGCCTCCCAACTGAGCCGACATCAGTGACAGCTCATGAGGCAGGAAGGGCTGGTTCACAATGTCTGCTGCCTAAAACGGGGTACAGTTATTATCCTCGCCTGTGGAAACAGAGACCAGTACTAGCTGAACCAGAACAGACACAACACCCAAAACCCCACTGCCACCTGCGCACCCTTACGAAAAGTTCAGAGAGGAGTGAAGGGGCTTACAGACCTGTGGTGCGTCGGGGTCTGTGGGCGGCTCTCCCGCGACGGCGCTGCTGCTCGGGCTCGGCTTCTCGCAGGGCTCCCCGGCCAGAAGCTCCTCGGCGGGCAGGATGGGCAGCGGCGGCGGCGGCCAAGCGGCCTCGGCGGCGGCGCGGGCCGGCGCGGCCACGCACAGGTTGTAGGAGTAGGGCAAGGTGCCCTCGCAGAAGTCGGGCGGGAAGGCGGCGCCGGCCAGTGAGAAGCGCTGCGCGCCCAGGCAGCGCAGCACGGCGGGCGGCCCGGCCCGGCGCAGCCGCGCCAGCACGGCCAGCGCCACGCTGAGCACGAAGAGCGCCGACAGCAGCGCCAGCGCCAGCACCAGGTAGAACTGCAGCTCGGCCGGCGCCTCGGCGCCCGCCGCCCGCTCGCTCAGCTCCGGCAGCGCC